CTAAGTCTGTCCTCATTATGTTCAGATTTCCAGCTGTGTTATCCTCAAATGTCATGCTGTCTGCTCTTTGACATTCTTAACTACTGTTGCTTCCTGTATTGCAGGTCATGTCAGGAACATACACTTTCCCTTTGACCTAGTAAATGACACTGCAATAAGTGTTGCTTTGGAGATGGTTAAAGAATTGGAGATAGATGATTGGGAGCCATTGGAGATTGCTGAGATGATAGAGGAGGAGTTATCTTCTCTGGTTCCAACTTGGAGGGAAAGGGGCTTATCTCAGTTCCCTCATCAACACAGTTTCAACTATGAAGAAGAAGATGGTGTTGATATCAAACATCCTTTTTACGCAACCTCTTCTGGTTCTTCCTCCCCAGCTTCTCTCCCAGCTTTTATTTCTTCCTACGAGGCACAATTTCATGGTGGAATGAATGCAACTTCTAGCCAAAACTGGCCTCAAGGTATATTTCCTTCTCAACGATTGTTTATTAGTTCAGTTATCTTGTTTCTGTGGCAGATGATGTCAAATAGATAGCTATTGTGCTTTGTCTGTTGTCCTTGAGACACTCTCGTTAATGCAGAAGCTGAAGATCTGTTCAGCAATGATGATTCTAGTTCCAACAGCTCCTCAAACTCCCCTAGGTACTCTTGCATGAGTTATGAAAATGATTCAAGTTTGAAAGGAGAATTCCTGTGCACGGCTAATACCATGAAATCTTCAAGATTCTGTCCTGGAGAGAGCAAGATTGCTAATCAGCCCCAACAACTGGACTCACAGAAGCCTTCCAACATGAATCACAAGCAGAAGCCAACCAGAATTCGATCACTTGTGGATGTACGTGGTCGATCATTGCGCAGATTGTTGATGGAGATATGCAAGACACGCATGTTTAAGACTGTTGGATCTGTTGAGGGCATTGGATATCAGGAGCCAGGTAAGGTTTCGAGCAAGGAGTCCATGGATGACCATCTGAAGATTCAATATGATGACGAAAAGTTGAGATTTAAATGGTGAAAAAAACTCCCATTAAGCTCTTAATGCACAGTGTTTTTGCTTTTGGTGTGTTTTAAGTGACGCTTCATTGCGCTTTGGTTGAACAATGTTTGAACCTGGAGACTTTAAATAAATGCAGACAAATCTGATTGGATAATGCTATGCCTAAATGTTTAATCCGTTGATTAGTTATGTAATACAGACTGAAAATAAAGTGGAGAAGAACGCGTGTAACATGCTAGTAACA